CCCCGCGGCCCATTCCTGTGCCCACTGGCCGCCGTGTTGCGGTACGGCGGTGCGGTCGGTACCGCGAGGTGAAGGCCAGGCCCGAATTGTTCCTATTTGGGGCTGGCTCGGTTGACGGCCACGAGAGCGTCTCCAGTCAGCCGGAGAAGGATAGGTGTGGGGCTGGCAGATAACGTTGCTCACGGTACCGGCCTGGCAGCGCTGCTGTTCGCTGTGTTCTTTTAAATGCTGATAGGTGAACCTGGCGAACTTCTGTGAGGTGCGTTAATGCCCTCCATCCGTGCTTGGAATTGGGAACCCCTCATTGCAGCGCTGTGCTGGTGCCTGGCAGCATTAAGGGATAAGCTGTTGTAAGCCCCGGGGCTGCAGCTCCGTGCTGACCTTGCGCAGGTGAAAGGAGGTTGCTGCAATGCAGTGTCACAAAGCTCTGTTTTAGAAACTACGGTCTAGCTCTTCTTGTAACTGTGGTTGCTCCTGTTTTGGGAGCACTGTCAAAGGTGTGCGTTGCTGGTGCTTCTTGCTGTGAAGCTCAGCTGCAGCCCTGTTGGGCTTAGCTATCAACCAAGTTGGGCTTTTTGCAACAGCGGTTGGGAGCCCTGAGTGCACACAGCACACAGCATTTGATAGGGAAGGGAGAGTGGGGTTGGGAGGCGCTCAGTCAGCATTGGAGATGGTTCTCAGCTGGCCTGTTCTCTTTTCCTATTTAAAAAAGGAGAGCTGTTTTCTTTTCTGGTAGAAACATAGATTATTTTACAAGCAGATGTTTTTCTTCTGTACAACAGACCAGAAAACTTAGTTTTAATGTGAAGCGCGCCAAAAAATGTGCCCTAGAATCATATTACTTCCTGAAAGCAACGGGATGAGATTTGGGTTAAAAGAATGGAAACAAACGTGGTGTCCCACAGGCATGGGTGAGCAGAAGGACTGCTGCAGTATGCCCGTGTTAATGTGAGCTGCAGGGATGCTGCATGCTGAGGAACCTCAGTGATCTCCCGTGGCAGTGTCTTTTGGCTGCAGTTGGCATTCAGGTGAGCACTGCTGCTCCTCTGGGTGCAGTTCTCCCCCACGCCTCTCATGAAGAGCGCTCCCAATGCTGCAGTGCAGGGGAACTGGGCTGATGGCTCTGCCTTCTGCACGTCCCACCCTCTTAGTGAGCCTGTCCCTCGGTGCTTGCCCTTGCTGTCATCTGTTAACAGGATGTCTTTGAGAGTGGCCAGAAGAGCTTTTATTTAAAATTGGCTCTGAGATGTTGATTGATGCTTTTCCCAATGTGTCAGTGCAGTAGGGGTTGCCCACCACATCTTACAGATGGGGCTTCCCCTCCTCTCCCCTCCGCTGCTGTCCTCTCCCATCTCTTCCCCTCTCCCCCTTGCTCCTGGTCAGGTTGGTATGGTGCTGGAGTGGTGTTGGAAAGGTACAGAGAGGCGCCTGAGTGACCTTGTTGCCCTTGTCCCAGGTGAATCAGTCATTTGCTTGTGTGTGGCTGAGACTTCCCTTGGGAAGGAGGAACACTCAGGTAGAATGTTGCCTGCAGGGCCTCTCTTGTGGGTGCAGGTACCCCAGGTCTTGGGACCGCCTCGAGCTGCTGCTGGGAAGGGCTGTTGGGACACAGCAGGTAACAGCCTGTCCTTTGGCAAGGTTGTCTGTGCCCGCAGGGTGAGCTTTTGTTGTTGCCCTGTTCTGGAATGCCAGCCTTATCAGGTGCCTACTGCTGCAGGAGATAGAGCCCCCTAAATAGCATCTGGGCAGGGCAGTGGCAGAGGGTTGGCTCATTGGTGTGTCTCATTCTACTAGAAGTTTTGTGCATTTTCCAGGTGTTGCTAACTTGTTGCTTGTAGGGTTTTAAAGCTTCTAGTCCTTACTTTTGAAGTCTGATTTGCTAGCTTTTCCCCACGTGTGCCTGCACTAATCTGTTTCTGTCGGGTTTCCCGAGGCAGAAGTAGCAGCAGCGGTATTTTCCTGCTTTCCAGCAGGCAGCCATCACTTGTTTCTCAGACCCTGTCGGTAACAGGATAGGTGCCTCAGAGCTGTCGTGGAGAACGCTCACCGAATGCCCGTTGGATGGCAGGGGCTGCAGACAGGTGACCCTGCTGCAGCTAAAGATAGCCCTGCGTCTGGCTGCAGGGCACTCAGGCACATTGCCTTAAATGGTGAGCTGAGCTGCAGGAGCCGGCACCTTGTGCTGCGGTGACACGGGACAGGTGGCTGTGCTGCCTGGGACCCTGCCCAGCCTGCCCACAGGGCAGCGCCGCAGCTGATATCACTGTTGTGCAAATTAATCTTGTTTTTGTATGTACGCTTTGTCTAAATAGACTGAAAATCTGAAGATAAGTGATGTTTGTAATTTAATGGGATCACAGTTGGAGATAGGTTTGCTTCTCTCTGCTCTGTCATTTTACAGCCATCTTCATCACAATTCCTATTTTGCTTAAATAGGAAGTAGAGGAGAAACCCTCAGAAATCTGTCTGTAAGCTCTTGCACTCCTATGAGAAACAGGGAGCTTGGCTGTGAGCCAGAGGTCTCAGAAGTGACAGCGCTGGTTCTCGTTGGCTGCTTGTCTCATGTCTTCCCTGAACGTTTCTGTCGGCAGTAAGGTGTAATGGTGTGAAGGCACCGGACAACTTCTTGATCTTCATGTTTAAGATTGGACAGCGCTGTTGAACATACAGTGATTTGTATGGACTTGAGCCTGGAGTGTTCAAGGCCAGGCTGGATGGGGTTGTGAGCAACCTGGTTTAGAGGTGTCCCTGCCTATAGCAGAGGGATTGGAACTAGATGATCTTAAAGGGCCGTTCTGACCAAAACCATTCCGTGATTCTGTGACTTGTATGACTAATCTAGTCTCATAACACTTTTATCCTTCTGCAGTGGAAGCATCAGTACACGGAAGCAATGTACACTGCACAGATAAGACAATTGAAGCTGCAGAGGCCTTGCTTCATATGGAGTCTCCTACCTGCCTGAGAAATGCCAGGAGTCCTGGTATGTCAGCTACAGTTTCTCCTCCTCAAGCTTTTTTTCTTTCCGCTAACGACTAAAACCATCATCCTGTAAGAAGCATGCTTCCAGGTGGTATCATTTACCTGAGTCATGTTGTTGGGTGCACATACTCGAATAAGCTACACATTTAAAGTGGACTTTTCCATCTAAACATCAGGTAAAACTTCGTTATTGTGCAGGTGATGGAGCACTGGCACAGGTTGCCCAGAGAGGTTGTGGAGTCTCCTTTTGGGAGATCCTCAGTAACTAGCTGGAACATCATGGTCACCCTGCTCAGGGCCTCCGTGTTTGAGCAGAGGTTGGGCCAGGTGACCTCAGGCATCTCGTCCTACTTAAGTCGTTCTTTGATGCTACGAACCTGACATTTTGCTTTGCTAGAATAGTTACTTCAAGGGAAAATTATTTTCATCTGTTCTTCTGTTTTAGAAAGAATATCTGAATACAGGATGTTGTAAATTGTTACCAGTTTAAAAACCCAGAAGTCAGTGTTGATGATTCCTTTAGTTGTATCTTCTTTCTGAAGTTACTTAATATACATTGGATGAAATTGTGATCAGATTGGAACCCAAAAGCGATCAAGTAGGAAATGGGATTTGGGATGCAAACCTTAATGAACTAAGGATCAGAGATTGAGCTCTAATTGTCTTCAATTAAAATTGAATTTAAAGTTGAGCTTAAATCAAAACAGTATTGCTTTGATATAATTATCTTATGCTCGACAGTGATCACAGGTGTGCATGTTTTGGGGAGTGGACTGATTTTCTACATGGCAGTTTGTTGGAATTGAATCTTGCTACATTTTTGCACGTGCTTTGTTTAAAGCAATTTCATGTAAGAGAGGTTGGAACAGTCAAGTAGAAACTTCGTAACATACTTTTTTCCCCCTTTTCCTCTTAGTTGAAGTTTTGGTCCCTCCTTGTGTGTCAACCCCAGAGTTCATCCATGCAGCCATGAGGCCTGATGTGATCGCAGAAACTGTGGTAGAGGTGCCAGCAGATGAATCTGAACCAATGGATTCATCTCCTGCTCGAACGTCCCCTGATATCCATGAACGAATGAAGAAGAAAAAAGGTGCGTATGGCTCCTCGTAGCAGCTACCTCAGGGTTTATTTCTTATGCAGGCAGCCTCAGATGGTGCAGTTGAGATGGATACAGATAGGTTAGATTAGCTGATTTCTCTGCTCAGGTTAGCAGTGTGGTTCACGTCTGAAATGCGAGTTCTTAGAGAGCAGGCCTGTGACAACATCCAGAAGTAGCGAGAGAGTGCGTTCTACCAACTGCTAAGGAAAAGGATTTCTTTTGTTGCTCTGTGCCTTTAAAGTGAAGTCTGCAGAGTGGGGGAAGGGTAAAGAAGGATTCAGAAAGGACTTGAAGGGGGTAAATGTTTCTCTGGAGTAGGTGTGTGAGAGCAGGTGGTCTCAGGAGTCCTCGAACAGAACAGTAGAAAAGTTACTAGCTTACAAGCTTATAATTTGATTTACAGAATCAGTACAGTGTCTTTCTGGGAAAGAATTATCTTGTTTGTCTGATCGGTGTGCCTTGGAGGAGGCACTAATGGGAACAGTGAACGAGGTCTAAGCATTCAGATACCAAATGAGATGGCTCTGAATGGTCGGTATCAGTCTGGTCTAGCAGTTTGCTTACAGGCATGTTATAATTCTCTTAACCATAGGAGGACTTTATTAGAGATTCCAGCTGTACATATGCAGGGTTGCTTCTAGTTTAGGGGAAAAAAACTTCAGTGTCATGGTAAAGCATTATATAGCTGAGGTCTACAGTTTGAGATTTGGTGAAGTCACATGCACGTCACTATGGCTGTAACTACCCTAAATGACATAAGCAGGAAAATAATGATAGTGCTTTTTTATAGCTGTATATTGGATTTAAACCGTTTCTGTATTTTTTTTCACTGTCGGTCTGAATAGTCATCAGTGGGCAGATTATGTTACAGGGCTGTGCTCAGAAAGCTGAAAGTGCATAAGGTCATTCAGATACAGCAATGGAATGATAACTTGTCGTCATAACTAATGCTTGTTGAATTGAGCATTTACCGAAGAATATTATTCATCAGCAAAAGATAATGCTGCTGCTCCTGAGGAAGGAGAGTTACTTGCTGCTGCTCTCCTCAAAGTGACTGCAGAAGTGAGGGTTGTTTGCAGTCTGCTGCCCTAGGTTATGATCCTCTCCCCTGCTTGGGCCCGTTTACCTCCATGGAAAGGTCAGTGGAGTGTAAAAGGGTGAGGATTTCCCTGACACCGGAGCACAGCAAGGGGCTGCGAGGGCAGAGCAGCCCCAGCACCACCCTGAGACCTGCGTCCCAGGGGCTGCACGCTGAGAGGAAGCTTGCCTGTAGCTTTTAATGGGCAGATGTGGAGAGGAAGTGGGAGTTTTGTGGATTCAGCTGTAGGATTTTGTAGGAAAACTGATGCTTTGATGGGCACGTGTTCTATCGAAAACAAAGCAGGCGGAAGAGTGGTAAGTTCCAGAGTAAGAGAGGCATGTGACTAAAGGAATGCAAATACACTGGATTTACTTCATATGCGTGGTGTGCACTGCATCTGCCAGTAATTCATCTGAAATGAGGTTAAATCTGCCTCTGGAATAAGCAGACGAATGATGCGTTAAATTGGATGTGCAATAGTCGTCATCTAAGAATGGCAGTTTATCCATACTTGAAGCAAGGAAATAGCATTAAAAAAAAAAAAAAAAAAAGAACTTCTTCTTTCAGCAAAATCGAACAACAAAATGCTTTTATTCTGCATACAATTAATACTTTTCATTTTTCCCTGCATGTGTTGTGTGCGCAGCTGGCCGTAAACCCAAGAGCCAACAATCGACCATTTCAGATGGGTCTCCAGACCTAGGTATAAAGAAGAAACCTAGAGAAGGCAAAGGTACAATTTTACATTGTTAAATCATGTCATTTATATGTATTGTGTGTCTCGTAGGTAAAACTGAGATCTTCAAAACTTTGGTGGGTGAATTTGCACTGACTTCGTTCGGTCTCAACTTTATTTGATGTCCTTGCGTTTGTTGTTGCAAGATGAAGTACAAGGATGTTTCTAACTCCCCTGCATGCCCTGTAATACAACCCGTACATTTTCATTTGCTTTGCATTTATTGCTGTCTTCTGTGGTGTGTGTTAACTTGTTGCCAGGCACATCATTTGCTAATCTGCCGCTGTAGGACTTGCTCTGAAGTAGAAGCAGCTTGTGGGCATTTGTAATGTTGAGGGCTGGAAATGTGTTCCCTTAATTGATTCACAGACATCAGTGGGAATGTGTTGCTTGACTAATAGATACAAATTGGCTGAAGGGTGAAAACAAATGATGGTATGTTTCTCTGCTGCTTAAGTGAGGAGCTTTATGCAGAAGAGTCATTATTGTTATTGTTTTTCATGATGAAGAGTCCTGTCTTGGTTTGCAAGCCCCAGCTTTTCACCCAGAGATCAGACAGACCCACAGCACCCACTCACAGGTTACTGTTGAATTGCAGTACAGTGTATCAGCTCTTAGCCCTGCCTAGGTGCAGAACGTGGATCTTGTTCCCAGCTAACTTCACGAATAGTTGTTAGGAGATTGTGCTTACAGCTAGGAAAATAGAGTTTCAGTGAGTCTCAGTAGCAGTGTACCAGCTGAAAGAGCATGCAGTTGTCAGCACGAGAGCTGTTATTATTTCAGGATTTGTTTGAAAGCAGGATCTCTGCTATTTACGTCATTCCTTATCTGGGGGCAGCTCCTGAGTCGTGCCTGTGAGCAGGCTGAGGAAGAATGGATGCTAGCTCATGGAAACCGGTGCAGAAAATAATTACGTTTCTAGGCATCGGTCTCTGTTGGTGCCTTTGATTTTTCACTGTAGCAGATCTTTGTATTTGCTGTTCTTAAAAGTGCGTCTTGTTTGATTTTTCTTTTTAAGTATTTTTTTAAACCTTCTTTGTAATTCTGATGTTGCTTTTAGTGCTTCCTGTTATCTGAAGAGCATTTGTGAACTGCCCTTGTTGCTGCAGAAATGACTTTCTGTCCTTCCAGTTTGTGTTTCTACTGCTGATTTCTCTCCTTAGCTGTTAGTTTTATCAAGTGTGAGATGTTACTACTCTTTTTTTCCAGTTTCCATGGGCGCTTAGGGTTTGCTTATGTTTGTTTTCTCACAAGGTATCTCAGTCCATGTTTTACACCACAGCTGGCATAACACACATTTTCTTTCTTCATGAAGGTTAATTTGAAGTCTTGCAGAATATTTTGTTACTGGCTTAATTTTATTTACTGTTTCTTTTAAAAAAGGATTTGCTATATGCAGTTATTGGACACGTAACATGTTTCTGAAAAAACAGGAAGTATTGCTAGAGCTGAGTGCTGTCAGCAGATTTAAGTCATGGAGGAGGAGAACGGCTGGTTGTACGCAGCTGGAAACAGGTTGCTTGTTGTCCGTGCAGGTACTTCTTCCTCTGTGCGTTCTGGATGGGTACGAAGTAAAGCAACTGTAGATAATCAGCTTGAGTTTGTTATATGGAGGGAACTGAAGGCTCCTGAATTGGGGTGATAGTACTAGTAGCTGTCCTCACATAGAAGATTGAGAGTTTCTATCTGTCTTAACTTCTCTTATTTTGTTTTTGCTTTGCTTAAGTGCTGTTTTAGAAGTGTAGACCGATAGCATAAAGCTGCAGGAAAATTTTTTCCCTCAGAGGGAGCAGAACTGGCTTTGAGCCTTTCAGTATAGGTGCTGGTACAAACGCGACAGTTGATACGGTGCCTTGTATCACTGACATGCTTTCTGGCTGTTAGTCCTTGTATTTTGAGACTACAGCTGACACAGTGAGTGGTGTTCCCCAGGGGTTGATACTGGGCCCAGTGCTGTTCAATATCCTTATTGATGACCAGGATGATGGCACTGAGAGCACCCTCGCTACGTTTGCAGGTGACACCCAGCTGGGAGGAGCTGTTGATGTGCTTTGGGGTAGGAAGGCCCTGCAGAGCAATCTAGGCAGGCTGGATTGCTTGGCTGAGGCCAGTAGGATGAGCTTCAACACGACCAAGTGCCAGGTCCTGCACTCTGGCCACAGCAACCCAGGCAGTGCTACAGGCTTGGGGCAGAGCGGCTGGAAGCGTGTGTGGAAGAAACGGGCCTGGGGGTGTTGTTGGGCACCTGGCTGAACGTGAGCCAGCGCTGTGCCCAGGTGGCCAAGGAGCCAACGGCAGCCTGGTTTGCATCAGAGATCGTGGTGCCAGCAGGAGCTGGGAGGCGACTGCGCCCTTGTGCTCAGCGCTGGTGATGCCACACGTGGAGAACTGTGTTCAGGTTTGGGCCCCTCAGCACGAGGAAGACGCCGAGGCCCTGGAACGTGGCCAGAGAAGGGCAGCGAACTGGTGAGGGTGTGCAGCACAAGCTTTAAAGGGAATGGCTGAGGGAGCTGGGATCGTTCGGTGTGGGGAAGAGGAGGCTCAGGGGAGACCTTACAGCTCTCTGCAACTGCCTGAAAGGAGGCTGTGGCAGGTGGGGGTCAGCCACTTGTCTTGTGGAAATAGTGATGAGACCGGAGGGACCGGCCTCAAGCTGTGCCAGAGGAGATTCGTGTTGGATGTTAGGGAACTTGTTTTCTCTTGCGGAGTGATGGGGTGCTGGAACAGGCTGCCCAGGGAGCTGTTGGAGTCACTGAGCCGGGAGGTGTTCAAGAGACTTTGAGATGCCGTTCTGAGGGACAGGGATTAGTGGGGAAATATTGGTGGTAGGTGGACGGTTGGACTGGGTGATCTTAGAGGTCTTCTCCAAGCTTGGTGATCCTATGATTCTGTGATTCTATGATTAAGTAACAGACAGTTGTAATGATCAGCTACATACAAACAAAGTATTTCACTGTGCCAAATTGCTCTATACTGAAGGTAAGGTAGGTAATAATTGTGTCAACTCTGTGCACTCTTAAGGTATATTGGTGATCTTGAGACTTTCCGGGCATGGAGATGAGTTCTAGATGCTACTGAAAAAGGCTTCTGTCTTCCTAGCAAGATGTACTATGTGCTTGTGTCTACCATGCTGGATTTTGGATGCATAACAGCAGCATGAATGTAAACCTGCTCAGATAATACATTTTATAGTCGTATCTTTTTCTTCCTCAGAAGTCGATAGGCTTGGATTCATAGTATGAGGAAAGGTTAGTTTTCTAGGGAGAGAGGATTTAAAAACAGTGCAAACATTTATAAAGTTAGCTTTTGTGTTAAATGCATAGCAACCATTATTGCCAGAGCAGCCGAGTAGATGGCCTGTGAGTAACATAACTATTCCATAGGCCTCATGTGGAAAAATGTTATTCAGGTCACTAAGAGTTCGAAGAAAAAAGGAAAAAGTGTTGAGTCAGCAGCTCCTTTCCAACAGAAAAAATAGGGCACTTTCAGGAATGATTTCTCTCGAAGGTCAGTTTTATTTCTGCAGTGAAACGGTTGCAGACCTCTACAGGATTTGTTGGTGAACCCAGAAATTCTATTTCTAAGGAGCTAAGAGAAAAAAAATAAAAAAAACCAACCAAACCCAAAAAAACCCAGAATTAATTTGAAGGGAAACACTACAAGTTAATATTTTTTCTCTTATAGAAGTCTTTCTGAAATGGGAACTTCCTGGTTGCTTGGTTACATGCCATTATGAGGAGTTAAAACACTTAGCATCTAACTAACGGCATTCTGAGATTAATAAGTTAGGGAAGATTATTCTGACTTGGTAAATGAAATGAGAAGAACGATATAAAAAGCTGCAAGAGTTTTTTTTGTCAAAATTACCCTTCACTTCCCTAAAATACACATGAAGATTATCCAGAATGATTCCAGGATTCTGGAACATCTTGACTCATATAAGTCCTATATTTCTCTGAAATGCAGCTGCATTTTCATATTACTTGATTCTGTACTTGCTGTTTACTGGAGCACTTCCTAAAATATTGGGTAGTCTGTCTCTGAGATCATCATCCAGAAGATGGAAACCATAATGAGATTTTTCTAAGGTAGTTAACTTCTTGGACTCTGTAAGAGAGGCCTTTCAACTGCCTTAATATATTTTTTGTTGTTACTGTGTGCTACAAACAAAAGTGCTGTGCTGGGCCATAACTTCAGGAGTTAATGATCTCTTTGCACACAGAAAATATTGGGGTGTATGTTTTAATTTGCCCATGGCACCTGCTGCTGGCTTGGAAGCATGATCACATGAATTGAGATGGCCATTCTGAGGTTGTTACTCTTGTGGATCTGTCTTGGTTTTCGCTTCTTGAATTGCTTTAGCAGGCTTCTCCAGCACTACTGATAAAACAGAGGTATCTTTTTTCCTTCTGCTTTTCTTTCCCTTTTGCTAGGTGTAGTCAGAGTCCAGGCAGCCCTCAGGTTATGTTTTATGCCATCCTGACAGTCATTGTTACAGATGTTGTCTTGTGGCACCTCCAGTGGAAATGGTAAAGAAATTGTACACCCCTGAAATGTCTGAGAAGTGTATTGAATTCTTATTCTGTAGGCTTCTTCATTCTGTACCTCCCCAGTTGCAGGAAGGTACGTGGCATTTCTGCCGTGTAAATCCTTGCAGGGAGTAGCAGGACTGGCTTTGCACCTAGCAGGGTCTCAATCATTGTGCAGGATACATTTGGATCAGAACACGGGGCTGTCAGCAGCGGGTGTGAGAGTCCCCTTGGTGCTGATGTCCCATTGAAGTCAGCAGCATGATCCTGGACAGGAGGTTGTGGCCTTATTTGAGATGGTTATTGAAGGTTGTATGCCTTTGTACATGATTTATTTCTGTCGTCTTGTACTTCAGCATCTTAAAGTGCACTGGCTTTTCTCTCCTCTGCTTAAGAAACTGAGAGGAAAATTCTGAGCTGTGTTCCTATCTGCGCAGTGCAGCTGTAGGTTGTAGAGTCTTGGAACACCCTCCTGTACTTCTTTTCTCTTTTCAAGAACTGGGAATGGGTGTGGAATTGAAGAGGCTCCTATGCTATCCAACAGATCACCAGGGTTAGCTCCTTTCAGGATGTAAATATTTATGAAAGCTTTACTAAACAGAATGAATGAATGCTTGCAGGTTGCATTACATACCATCCTCTGCGTAGTGTTTGCCTGTAATTTAGGTCATTTGGAGTTAGCTATATATGGAGAATTTTCTGCTGTCCTTGAAAGTGGATTTCTAATGTACAAATGCTTTCTGATTATAGGAAATACAACATACTTATGGGAGTTTCTTCTGGACCTTCTCCAGGACAAAAATACTTGTCCTCGTTATATTAAGTGGACTCAGCGGGAGAAAGGAATCTTTAAGCTTGTGGACTCGAAAGCTGTCTCCAAACTATGGGGAAAACACAAAAACAAGCCTGACATGAACTATGAGACCATGGGAAGAGCTCTGAGGTAAAATCCTAAGCTGCTACTTACTGCTCTTACTATAATTTCATATCTGACTCTGAAATCCTCAAGTGTAGATTGAACTCTATAGAAATAATGCGAATTCTGAGGTGTTAAAAGCTGCCCTTCTGCTGACTTCGCTGATGAAAAAGCAGCAGTTTTGCAGTTCCTGTTGCTTTCCATGTTACCAGTTAATTTGCAATTTACCTTTAGAGGTTTGTGTTTAAAAGGCCAGATTTTTTTTAAGCTGGATATTTGAGATGCTGTGCAGCTTCTTGCCATGCCTTCTTACATTTTATTTTTGGCTGTGGTTATGTTAGATTTTCTTGCTAGCGCAGAGCGAGTTTTTCTCTAGAATCTGTATCAGTTACCACTTAATGGTACTTCTCTTGCAGATACTACTATCAAAGAGGAATCCTTGCCAAAGTTGAGGGACAGAGGCTCGTTTATCAGTTTAAGGAGATGCCAAAAAATATAGTTGTCATCGATGATGACAAAACCGAACCCTGCAGTGAAGATTTGTCAATGCCTACAGATGAGAAGTCATTGGAGAGAGTGTCTTTATCTGCAGAAAACCTCTTGAAAGCAGCAACCTCTGCACGCGGAGGAAAAAACTTGTCTCAGTTAAGCTGTACCAGAACAGAAAAAGCAGTCACCAGAGTGGTGAATATTGCCTCACCAGCACACGATTCATCATCATCTCGCCCCTCGACAACCACTACTACTGTCCCAGCATCGTCAGCTCCCAGGTTGGTATTGATGTGGCTTGGGCTTGTTGTTCACCGATGAATGACGAGCAGCTTTTTGGTTGGTATGGTGTCTTTATTACTTTGTATGCTGGAAGTCTTCTCTGATCTACAGGCAGCCATGAATTGTGGTAGAATACTGTGAAAGTGTGGTTTATGAGACAGAGCCGCCTAGCAGTGCACTTGCCCTCAAGCATGTTTTAAAATCACGTAGAGAAGAGAGAGATGGATGCTGCTCAATCTACAAACTCCTATTGTGAGATGGACAGGAGGTTTTTGTCGTTGTTGTTCTTAAGGAACCAGTTAGAAAGCTGCAAATTCGGGATTTGCGTATCGCTGTTTTCAGCTCTAACGGTTTAAATGCACGTTTTTGTTTTGCAGGACTGTACGTGTGGCAATGCAAGTGCCTGTTGTAATGACCTCTCTGGGACAGAAAATTTCTACTGTGGCAGTGCAGTCAGTAAATGCAGGGTCGCCGTTAATTACCAACACAAGTCCAACAACGGCAACAACTCCAAAGGTAGTAATCCAGACAATCCCGACTGTGATGCCAACCGCTTCTGAGAATGGAGACAAAATCACCATGCAGCCTGCCAAGATCATTACGATCCCCGCCACGCAGCTGACGCAGTGTCAGGTACAGACAAAACCGGGCCTGACTGGGTCGGGAAGTATCAACATCGTTGGAACCCCGTTGGCTGTTAGAGCGCTGACCCCGGTGTCCATAGCTCACGGGACACCAGTGATGAGACTATCGGTGCCTGCGCAGCAGGCGTCAGGCCAGACTGCCCCCAGGGTTATTAGTGCAGTAATAAAAAGCCCGGAAGTGAAATCAGACACAGCGGCTGTAACGCAAGAACGTGAAGTGAAAACGCTGCAGCTCTTACAGGAAGAGAAGACGGCAGATGGGAGCAAGACTGTAACCCATGTCGTGGTAGTTAGTACGCCCTCAGCTATCGCGCTTCCTGTGACAATGAAAACAGAAGGAATCCTAACGTGTGAGAAGTGAAGAACAGGTTGCTTCCAGCGTGGACTTACGGACCGTTCCTGTTTTGTTTAAACTGACATAATTGGGGAGGGAAGTGGAGGCGATCGCCACGTCAAAAAGGAGAGTGGGGAAGTGTTAAAAAACATGAGTTGCATTGGAGACTTAGTGGGGAGAAAAAGAAGTGTTTTTTCCCGTGTTTCAGTGGGAATGGAACCACATTGCTATGCTGACAGAAACGGCCTCTTCCAGTCAGGAGACAGCTGAACCCGTGGAGAAGGAACAGTAGAGAGACTGAAAAGGGACCAAGCAGTTCACTATGCTGTCACAGCACACTAAGACCTGGAACACTAAAATTGAATTGTGTGAGAGGTTTGCCTTGGTTTTTGGTTTTTCAGGGAAGAGGAAAGTCTCATTTCTAGAAATGGCAAAGTTGATGAATCTTATATGCATACCAGCAATCACTGCTGCGTGCCCGCAGTACTCAACTGGTGCTAAGTGAAAACCTCTGCTACTAGGTATTGTAGAATGTGAAATAAAGGAGATTGAAGAGCTTCTAAAAGAAGACAGAGACCTAGAGGGATTTTTGTATCATAGCTTAAGCAGATTTAAAATGAAAGCCTTAGACTGATTTTCAATTATCTTTCTTGAAATAAGCTAATGGCTTGTTTGTTTAAAGCTTTTTTATTAAAACAAATTTTTTAAAAAATCTTGTACCTAGCACAGTATTGTTATAGAATTACATGTAACATATTTTGTATGGTAGGTAAAGTCTGTCTAAATTTCTTAATTGTGGACAAAACAGCAGCAGGCCTCCGGCTTTCTGCTGTAACATGCCTGTGTCTCTCACTTAGCCTTGACATCTGTGCATACATTTCAGTTTCAGCTCTACTCTGTCACTTGAAAGGTCACACCCAGCATGAGCTTTCGTCAGGTAGTTCTAAACCTGTAAATTTTTTTTTCTTAGTTGAAGTTAAGAGGGAAGTACCAGTGTTCAGAATGAACTATAATAGTTTGTATATTCAACATTTGAAGTATATTCTATTTTGTTGTACTCTTGTTTCAAAGTGTATTCAAGTAGGTTTTACTGAAATATAGAGATGAAATTTGTTTTGTCTGCCTTCTGTTTTTAACTTTTTCCTTTCAGCTGTTTGGTTCCTTTTCTGCTTACTTGAAGTCATCTGGGCATTCAGCCTCACGTAGCTGGGATGGTGTGGTAACATGGAGCTCCCCAGCACTCTGACACTCCACGTGGCTGGCAGCTCTCCCACACAGTGCGCCAAAATAGGTTTCGTTGAAGTATTTGAGAAGCTTGCTGTTGTTGACTTCTGACAGGGGTCTCGTTCTCTAAGCTTTTTTGACATGGTCAGCAATACTCAGTGTTCTTCCACTGTGGCTGATTGGACGAGTACTGGAGTGGAGTAACTCGAGTAGCTAGGAAGGTACTGCCCTGCAGTTCATAACTTTCTGTGTGCTCCCGTTTGCTGTAAAGCGAAGAAAACTGGGTTTGCTGAAATGGCCCTGAGAATCAGTGTCTCGTGAAGCTCTGTGGACGACTTGCAGCTCCTCCAGCAATTCTTTCGTTTTCTAAGGCTGTACAGCAAAGTAAAAAGGGGAAGTGAGCAGACTTCACCAGTGGAGTGTACTGATCTCTCTGAGTGTCTCATAGACGCAAGTAGAAAACACTGGTGAGTAGAAACTGACAAAGGAGAGATGTGTTGCACTGTTGCACTTCTCGATGCTGTTATCGTTGACGTCTTCAACTGTTCATATTTTGGCTTCTACACAAGTCAATAATTTTAGGTAACCTTCTCTCCTCCCCCCCCAATGAGGTAAGTACCTAAATAGGGTTTGTATTTATAGTCACCCATAAGGCGTGGGTGCAGGGTGAAGCTGGGGTGAGATTGCAATGCAAGAGTTACGCCACAGTGACAGCCTGCGTATAAGAGTGTGGCCTAAAACAGGTGTGTAGTAGCTCATCCTGTTTTCATGGGGATCCACACGTGGTTCTACAGCTGTCACTACAGGAGCAGCCCATCAGCTTGCAGGTACCCAGGTGCCCAAGAGGAACCTCCAGTTGCTAGCAGGATGCTCTGGGAAGTCTTCACAGCAGGGACTCGGTAAATCTCAAAGTAATCAAAGCCTGAATGACCATTTATGTACTTCATGCCCAGACGAGTAGTTCAAAGAGAAATCTGGAACTGGGGTCTTCATTGCTTATAAATGAGGCTGGTAGTAAACAGCTGCCCTGAAGTTTATTTTTTCACATTAACTTTTGAAGCTAAAAAACAAGCTACCCGCAGAGTCCTAGCAGTAACCCTTTCCTTGCCTTCAAATGGTGAGAAATGTGGGAATACTTCCATACAGCCAGGCTAGCACGTGGGGGCTTTGTGTTTCTTCTTCTGAAGAGACTTGTTAGACACTCTAAGCGGGGAAGCAGAATTAAGAACAAAGGGATGAACAAAGCTGAAGCGGGGAAACAACTTGGGTGTAGAAGGCAGCAATCCCTTCCACCAGGAGTTAGCCCAAAGAAGAAAAGGTTCTTAGAGGTGAACTGTGCTTCCAGGTCTTGAAATGAGGGAGAAAGGCTCTTTCAAAGGGGGAGGTGAACGAGAAGGAAGAGGATTTCTGCTGCCAAGGAGGAAGTGGGTAAGAAGGCCATGGCCAAGGAAGGGGTAGACCAGAAGGCCAAGTGGGGAAGCTAGTCAATGGGAGTATGCTTATGGAAGTTTGAGGCAACTCTAATGTGCAAAGGAAGTGGAGCAGGGTGAAAAGAGGCAGGCAGGCAGTGCTTTGTGCTGTGTGGGTAAAATAGGCTGGAGACAACAAAGGCAAAAGCAGTAGCGTTTTCAAACCCACTTTTCTAAGTCTTGTCGGTGAGAAATGATTCTCTAAATGGCTGTTACTTGGTCGTGTGTGAAGGGGAGATGCTGTATCTCACAGCATGAAATGTATATCGCTGGTGTATTTGTAGTTAAGACCTTTCCCACACCTGATTTAGATACAAAGTCAACTGAGGGCAGAGTACATTCCTGGAAATAGATAAGGATCTCCAGCTGACAACCTCCTCCTGTAAAGTTAGATCCAGGATTTCATCATGTAATGGCGAGAACAGAAGGAATGAAGGCACAGATCGCTGCTGCTTGCTAGACAAACAGCCCTCAGCCGTGCTTGCAGTTAGTGCCCACGCTCCAGCTGGTGATGGTCCTTTGGCTCTCTCCCCTGGCCACGCTGTGAGCGACAGCCAGTGTACCAGCTGCCTCAGGACATGTAGTAGAGGTAGGTTGGGTGCTGCGAGAATCTCGAATCAGTACGAAGGTGCATTGTAATGAATCAGTACTTAGCAAGGTCAGAGAGAGAAGTGCCTTCTCATTCACCTTTCCACGTATGGCTCCGTATGCCCCACTTGGTTAAACATTTAGCTGCTAGATGTAAATACAGGTGGCCTTTGTCACAAGGCAGGTGGGGACTTCAACATGTCTGCCTAGCTGCTGCTCTTCAGTGTTGCCTGGTTCCTCTGCGTTGATGTGACCAGTTATTCTTCATCAGAAAAACGTGTCGCCTTGTTCACAAGCCATGCTTACAGGAGGCAATCTCTTGTAAAGGTTATCGTGGAGGTTTTCTGAGCTAAGAACAAGATTGCAGACTGTCACTGCAGTCATTGTGCAAGCTTGCTCTTTAACATTCTTCTTCATTCTGACGCGAGTAATTGCCGTGTGGGCAAGAAATGCTTGTACTGATGATGGTGAAGGACATGAAGTCAGGATGGAGGAGCTTTGGTCAGGTCTGTAACACCTGAAAGACAAAGGGCTGCTAACCAAAACGCTGAAGTTAGCATCTAGATACATTGTTGGACTTGCAGTTCCTTTACAAGTCTGGTCCTGTGCAGCACTGTTGTCTTAAGACATCCGTAACTGGTGGCTCGCGAAGAAGAGTCTAGGCTGAGCCCATCCTGGGCAAGTAGTAACTCCTGTGGATGCCGCGAGTGGAATGAAAATGCAGTGTGCAGCGAGCACGCTTCACATAGAAGGCATCAAGGCATGGATTGTTATGGTACCACTGATACCGCATTATGTGTCATGATTATTTTTCAAATATCCTCTCGTAATATTGTAAATTATAGGGTGGAAAGGGTAATGCTGGGTGATCTGCAGGGAAAACTGTATCGTGTGGCAGCTTGAAACATTTCTGCGTTGTGGCTAGAGAAGTTGAAAAAGGAATCTCATCCCGGAGAATTATTTTTGTTGCTCTCTCTTGAACTGATAAAGTCTATCTTGCTGTGCAAACCTGGTGAAAGGGTTTTCACTCTTCATCGAAACTTCTTTCTGGCATCTCAAGCTTAGCATTCAATTGCAGGGTTCTGTGCCTTGGCACAAGTGATCCGGGAAAAGTGTGGTGTGGCGAAGGCTTGGCTCTTCTGGTCCTCTGCTAACTAATTTAGTGGACTTTTGGACTTGGCAAATCGTGTCTGAGGTGATGAAGGAGCAGTGAGCCAGAGGTGCTGAGGCAGGAAAGGGGAGCGGTGCACGAAGCCTTGGTTCTTACCCTGACTCGTCCAGCGCGGTCTCGGTTATGTGTGGAGACCATCCCAATCCATACAAGCTAAATTCACTGCTTGCCTTGGAGACACAGTGAGCTTATTAAGTGTGAAAGTTTCAAGTGACACTACCTACTTCTGATCTAATTGTTATCCGAGAGAGAGCGTTTTAATAAGCTTGCAGCAGCTTCTGCCTTTCAGCAAACAGAGTAAGTGGGTCACTTCTTCCCTCAGCTGGCCTGGGGGCGAGGGGAAACTGTCACTGATAGAGCTAATGCAGCTCTTATTCAAGATGAGAGCAAGGGAGCTGCAGAGACTTGTAGCCTTGGTGTTCTTATGAGACACAAAATGAGCTCTGAATACATTTTTATTCTGAGCGTTGTGCTGCTACACTGAAAAAATAAAAAAACCTCCTGCTTTTTCCAATGAAAAATATTTACCATACAGATTTTATAGAGGGCAGAAGCATTTCACTGCTGCAGGCCTCATGCTTGCTGAATAAAACAAAAGCAAGGGCAGTATTTCATTTGAGCTTTCTATAACATTATCTGCAAAAACACATTTTATAGCAAGTACTGGAATAAAAAGCTGAAGCTGGCTGGGAAGTTAGCAGCTCCTTGTTGAGCCTCGTCTGACCTTTATTACAGTATAATGGAAGGCATTTACTGTTCTAGGAGGCATGTGTGATTTTAACATTCCTCCCCCCACACAACTCTCCCTTCAAAATTGCCCTGTAAGGACATGAAGCAGTGGACACTCACTGCCATGTGTCCAGGGCAAAATGAGCGTCACAGCCCTTTTCTCTTTAGAAAAGCTCTACAGCGATGGCAGCATCGCAGAACTCATGCTGCCTGCCCCCACTTATCATCTTCTCATGGGAGAGTTGAGATGAAAGCCAGGATCTCTATCCTGGGCACTGTGAAGCAGTGCCACGCATATGAACACTGGGATACCATTCAGAAAATGGACCTATTCACACAAAAGCAAAATGGAAATCAGAGCTTTTTCTTTTTTATGCTTTTGCTTTGTTTAAAGACGGCTCTGCACTATCTGATTAATAATAATGTATGCTTATCTTTGCCTTACTACTGCAAGTGTAGTTTCTTCCAGAAACTAACAGAAGAGGATGAATATAAACCCCAGCTCTCTGGTGTGACTTCTGTGGTAGATGCCTATTAGCAATGCTGTTTAATACATCCATGCTGTAGTGTAATTCATGGGCTGTGGAAAGCACGTACCTGTATTATTTCTTGCCCTTCAGGTGTTTCGTAAGCGACAACCGGAGCTGCCTGTTGTGAGGAGCCAGCCCTGCTAGGCATCATTAGTGGCTCCTCAGGGAGGAACACGTGCAGCCTGGGGTGCAGTCCTGAGGTGAGTGCTGGCACAGTTCGTAGCTTCAGACAGCTGATGGGAAGAGAAATACTTAGGGTAATTTAAGGCCTAGGCTTCATTACTAGCTAGGGCAGAAGGCAGCTTAACTTCTCCTCAAGTGTAACCCCTTTCCCTACAGATTTGCTGTGAAATGTAGGCATGCAAGTTTGAGAAACACCACTTGCTATGAAAGTGGCTGTGA